GATTCCTGCTGGAGCAGCACGGCTCCAGCACAGGAAGCCAGGCAGCAAAAAGTCTGGGCAATACCAGCTCAAACACATCGTTTGAGTCTAAGTCGGATGTTTAATTTCTCCGTGCTCTCCCGTTCTAGTTAAACAGCTCCTACTTGAAACAGAAGGAAGCTGAAGAAAGCCTGCCGGAGGGGAAAGGAAAGAAGCAGGGGGAATACCTCAACTCTGCAGTTTCCTTCTTAAATCAGTTACCAGCACACCTATTTGCTGATCTTCAGGTCACGTTACACAGCGAGTATTTCGCTGTTGCATCTACTGCTGCTTCCTTTCGCCACAACTATCTTCCTAAAGCACATTTTCAACTACAAGAGATTCGCACAGTTAGCCATTCTCTACTCGCACATTCCTACTGCGTGCATCTGTAACGTGTGCGCGGTGAATGGAACGGGTGGAGGTCACCAGCAATCAGATTAACTGAAATTAAGTCACTTACACTGGAACTTTTTTCTCCACTAACGTAAATTTGCAAAGAACTATTAAACAAAATACCTACAACAAACCCACCTGTGAAGAGAACGCTGATTTCAAGCCACAAAAATGACAACTTTATCACTCTCCAGTAGTTTGTGCTTTTGCCCCAAAGCCTCCCAGCAGACATACATGTCAGCGGCACCTCGAGGACTTTGATTTGATCCACGTTATCAAATCGACAAACCCCTCGTTGCTTTACCTTTAGGGGATGATGTCCCAGAAGCTGCCTCTTGGTGGGAGTCCGTACGCTCCTCGGTGGGGCCCGAGGACACTGGTGCAACCTCCAGTTCCTCTTCAATGGATTCCAGTGTTTTTAAGGCCGCAGACTTTGACCTTTCCCCACAGGGAAAACTTCCCTGGTTCTCTTCCCTTCTCTGCAAGTCCCCTCCTGCAACACACTCCAGGTTCAGCGCAGAGTTCTCTTCGCTTTCACAGCCCTCGTTTTCTGCCTGTCTTTGTGGTTCCTCACACCTCTCTCCAGACGTCTGCGTTCTGAACTGACCTGAGCCTTCTCCTCGTGCATCAGGGCCCACCCAAGAGTCACCGTTATGTAACTGCTCTGCCGTCTGATCAGCCTCTGTTGACAGAGCAGTTTGGAGTGGTGCAGCTTCTTCAACCTTCTTATGCTGACAGGCACAGACCTCTTGCTTTTCACCATCCGACACGAGTCCATCTGTAGGAACCCTGACTTCAGAACAATCGTTATGACTGGTCTGATTCTCATTTAGAGTCAGTATTTCTTCAATCTCTTTGACTTCTTCCAGGCTGTCCCTTCTTCCCAGCTCAAACGCATCTACTTCTCCTTGGTTCTGCTCTGGAGGATTTAATGGAGAATTAAAACTTGCTTCCTGATCGCTGCCGCAAGCGTCAACTGCTCCCAAATCTGCCGTGTGCCCTGAAGGGGACCCTCTCTCCACGCCTGTGGCTGAACTCTCAGGTGTGATAAGTGACGTAGTGGCCTGGACTGGTGCAACACTTTCACTGACACTCTGGCAAGAAACATCAGCACCTTCCTTCAGCGTGGAATGCGGTCCCAAAGGCTCTAGGACAGAAACAGGAGAGGTGCCCATCTGTGTCACCTCATTTTGGCCCTCGGTCAGTGGTTCTCCATGTATCACCTCCTCTTTAGCAGCAGTAGCATCCTGAATTGTTTCTGGGCTCTGCTCTGATGTTTCAGCACCAGGATTTCTGCTAGGACCTTCTCCTTCCACGTTTCCAGGAGCACCAGGCGTTGGTGCTTTGCGGTTGACGCCATCTCCAGCACACGTGTCGCTGTGGCTGCACAGCGCGTATTGCCAATCGATGGAGTGTTCGCTGCGGGTCTCCTGCTCTGCAGGTGAATCCTCTGCACTGCAGGCAGGAGATTCAGCCCCAGGAAGGCTATTCCCCATGTCTCCAGGACCACCGGATACCAGCTGGCCTTCTGGGCACAGCTCTCCGCCTGCCATCATTCTGTCACTTGCCAACAGAACCGCATTTTCAAGAGCTTCTGCAGAAGAAGTCCTCAGAGCGTCCATCTGACAGTGCTCCTTTTGCATACGTGCTGACTGAACTAAGTTCTTGGAGTAGGTACTGTCCTGAATGACAATAAACTTGTGTTTGCCTTTAGACACATTCACTCGCGTTCTGGGCTGCGTTAGGTAATTTAAAGCTAGCGACTGGGTTAAAGAGCCTGTCTGTGGCCCAAACCTGGGCAGTGAAACTTCTGTCAACTCAACGTACTCCCCTTCAAGGTCACTTTTCAAGTCGTCTTGAGGCACAAGACTTGGACAGACACCATTGACAAGAGCTTCGCTTAACTGCGGAGCTGTGCTGCTCGCCACCAGGCTGGCTGGGTTTGGACTTTGTTCCTGTAGATACTGAGATCCTAGGTCTGGTGAACTGCACTCAGCATGGTCCATAGGGAGGCACAAAACTGAACGTTCCTCTGTTGTTTCCGGAGAGATGATATTGGTTTCAATTATTTTGGGTTTATTTATAAATTCAGGATTAACCACTTTATCCCAGGGGATGCGAAATATTTTATCATCAGTGGTTAATAAACAATTTTCCAGTGCTATACCCATCCGCTCTCCATTGAAAGTACTCAACCATTCCAGGGTAAAAATAGAGGTATAGGAAACTTCTGGAATCACAACTTCCTCTACATTATGCCTGTCTCTTGCCAAACATTTCAACACAATTCGTGGAGACTTCTTCAGATAGGGGACCACCTGCAGGTAGAAGTCACCAGGCTTCAAGATTCGCCAGTCAATGGAAGCCAGCTGGACTACAATCTTCTCGTGGATACACAGGGGCCAGCCCTCGTGGCGAAACAGCAAGCCACAGTACTGAACCTATGGAGAAAAGAGAAAACATTTTCAGCATCGGAAACGGACCTCGGCTCCAGCTTTTGGACAACAAAGATTAATGCCTCTCTCTTCCACAGCTGCAGCAGTAAGACAGTTCAGCTGAGGGTCTTTGGTTATTAGTGTAGGGGAGTTTTCCATAGCGAGGTCTTCTCAGCAAAAAAAAAAAATCAGAAATGAGAAAAGCTATTAAGACAAACCACCAGCATCCTGGAATTTGAATATGAACTAATCAGCTGCCAGAAGTCTCAGCCCTGTTTTAAAGCCGGGTCAGCACAAACAAGTAGAGGTCTAAGCCCAGCGTAAAGAAATCAGCTCTCACCTCCCAGTGCTCAAGCTGGGAGACCCTGTCTCTCCCTCACCTCTGACTCATTCGAACCGACAAGACTGACTAAGAACATGAAAATTCAGACCCTACAGCATCTCTACCCAAGTGCTGTTAGAGAAATGTGGGCAGAGAGCAGTCTGCTTACAACACACGCACAAAACCCACCACTCTGAACTAAACACCATCCACAGCCTTAACAGAGAAGGTGGCAAGTAACCGGCATCATTTCCAGGGCATCCACAGCGAGCTATGGGTTGTACCAGGTACACCCGATAGCAGCCTGCCAAAACGCTTTGCTGCTGAGGGGAGGCAGAATGAAAATGTCAAGGTGTGTCTGAGGATCTCTTTTTATTCCCTAAACATGCTCTGCTGGAGTACGCAGAATGTTCCACCTAATTTTGGTTAAGCCAAATTGAAGAGCATGTAGACAGGTCAAAAGCGTCGCTCATCTGGTGCCAGCAAGAGCCTACACGAAGGTAAGTTACATGGGGTGCAGCAGCAAGGGATGGCTGCAACCTACCAGCCAACAGAAGGAGATACTGTGAAGACAAAGCAGGAGAAAGGAGGCAGCAAATGAGGAAACTATGGCAGAACCATAGAAAAAGGCAGCAAGTCGCACCAGCAAGCTACAAGGACCTACACTTAGCACACATGGGATTTCCTCGTTCCCCCAACATCTCAGACAAATCCTAATGAAGTCAGAGGACTTTCATGGCTGAACTGACTTGACTCAATTACTTACAGTTTCATCACAACTTCAAAAAACTAAATTTTGAACCTTGAACTTCATTCTGTTTGGGTAAAGTGATTTACACTGAGCCATGACACAAGCCATCAGTTTCAATGACTACTTTCATCTTTCTCTGTCAGGACAAGGGTTTAGGTAGGATTCGCCTGCACTGGATCCCATACTTAGAGAGCTGTCATGTGGGAGCACAAAGATTTTACTATTGGCAGCATTAGACCTCAAAAGTTTTATCTTATTTCTCTTACACGTAGAAGTCTTGATAGAGAAAGCAATTTATAAAAACACTGTATTCTGCAGCCCAGAGAGGTGAAAGAAAAAATACTTTAACAGAAATATTTTGCCATATAGCAGAGAAACCAGAGAACGGGAAGGAAGATCCTAAATCCTCACATACCCTGAAACAACAGGTAATGCCCATCAAGTAATTTCTTTCCTATGTTCATCAAGCTTCACCTTCAGCCTAGCCAGGTTTCTTATCCTCACCGTACTTGTCGCAAAGTTGCTCAGAGGTTCGAAAGCCTCAGTCCTTCCAACTCAATAATTCCACCTCCTCAACCCTGGAGCTTATTCTCTGGATGCGTTCCCATTGCTTAAAATTACTAAACCTTCGCACATCTCCCTTGATCAGCTCTTCAGCCTGCCCAAAGCACCTCCTTGGGGATGCTTTTTTTTCCCCCTAAAAAACAACACACATTTCTTTGTTCCACTTTTTCAACTCAATAATTCCACCTCCTCAACCCTGGAGCTTATTCTCTGGATGCGTTCCCATTGCTTAAAATTACTAAACCTTCGCACATCTCCCTTGATCAGCTCTTCAGCCTGCCCAAAGCACCTCCTTGGGGATGCTTTTTTCTTTTCCCTAAAAAACAACACACATTTCTTTGTTCTACTTTTTCATTGGGCAAAGCATTGCAAAACACCGCGTACAATGGCACCGATGGCTCCCGGCTGTGCTAGAAGGACATCTTAAAGCTTCTCTTCCAGTCGTGCCCCTGCTGTAACCCTGCTAGTTTTTCCTTCCAAACTGACGAACGCCAGCTCACAACAGAAATTCTGCCTGTCGCTTTGTGAAGGCACACACCTGCCCTCCGAGTCGACCGTTACAAAAAAGTTCAGTACCAAGTTTTAGAGCTCATCTTGCGCAATACATTTATCACCCTCCTCCTCCTCCTCTAGGCTATTACTCACGGCTCCCAGACTGGTTTCATCACAAATATCTGTCATATGCATACTCTTACTTTTTATGCCAAGGTCATGGATGAGAAGTAGTGTGTGTCTCATGACTCCTACCTCCAACTCAGTTTTCACTGCAGTACAAACACCCTCCCTTTCACCAGTTTGTTACCCACCCTGCAATACTCGCATAAACCTCCAACCCTTTGACACAGCAATGAACTTTCTGTATGGCTCCCTCAGAAATCCTTTACAGAAGGGATCAGACAGCAAAAGTTTTCTCTCTAGAGAGAGCTGGTTCATGCAAAAGGCTGGTCTTAATGCTACCTGCCATGGAGCAAACCACATGAAAAAACATTACCCAGTTTTCAACAGGTCAGTGAATTCAGTCCTTGCTCAGTGCGTGTTGTTGTACGCTCAGCTTGTTCTCTGTATTTTGTTACTAGCCCTGACTTAACAGATTCAATAAAAATCCCTGTTATCAGACATTCAGCATTACATGGTAACTTCTCTCACATTCCAGGATGGAGACGAGCCAGTCCCTTTTCTTCGACGTAGTCAATCCCAAACCCATTTCAGTCACGGCAGTTTTATTTCTGTTCACTCACTGCAGCTGCCTTACTGTTGCCCCTACACGCTGCATCGCTACTACACCAAATCTTACTTTAGTTTTCCTTTGTCTGAAGGATCATATTAATATTACCTTTATATTCTAACTTTGAACTTAGAGCTGACCCATTTCCCTTCCTTTTCTCTTTCTATTAAGTTAAAAAGCCCCACAACCTAACACAGGGTTGCTTGGACTTCCCTCAAAGGCACGGGGAGCTAAGCTTTGCAGTCTGACGTTCTTAAACTTTTGGATCTCTAGGACACAGATGCTTCTACATCTCCTTTCTTACACAGCACAGTTAAATTCAGCTAACCGAGACCTCCTCTTGCAGGACACAGTTTCCAGAAGTTCCAGAAGTCTCAGCATTTCACAGATTTTTCCACCAAGCTCAATTCATGCAGCTCCTCAGCCAGTAGAGCTTGGATCTCCTACAGAAGTGCCTGAGCCAAGTATTTTGTACGTAAGGTTTTAAACAGAAACAATTTGTGGTTTTCCATAAGAAACTATGCAATTGCACCTTACGCCATACCAACCCCTCCTCTTCCATTAGAATATCGCCAAGTTGATACATTAAGGCCATCTGTACCATTGAGAAGAGGCAGACACGCACAAAAAATTAAAAATTATCAGTTCCCAAACTACTATAAAACGTTTATATGACTGAAAAGTGAGAGATGCAATCAGCAGTAGCACAAACGTAAAGCTGAACTGCATCTGCACCTACCTGGCAGAGTTTCTGTTAAAACCTGGATGCAGAGTAACCTATTTGGGGGGCACTCACACATTAAGAAATTCGAAACCCAATTTCACCACTTAGATGACCTGTCTGCCTACTGACTGCTGAGGAGAAGAAAACTCAGCAATAAAATCACCAAAAACCAAAATGTATTCAAGTTTCTGGAAAACCCTAAAAAGCCACAGTCTAAACTGCAGTAAGAGGTAAAGTAATGGCCAAGCAGGAATCTGAGTCTTTCAATAGCCTAAACATTTCAGAGTGCTAGGACTTTAGAAGTGAGGCATCCTCACACTGCTCCTGCTCCAAAAAGCACCTTCAAAGGGAAGATTACACGAAGAGGCTTATTTCGGTTGTTTTAACAATTCACTCTGAGGCTCAAGTATTTGCTTTTCTCGTGTCCAATTGCTACAGAGCCAAACGAGGCTCGTCAGTGGAGTGCCAGGAACAGAGCCCACACCCAGTGGCTGCAGCCAGGAATAAAGCTGCCTCTGAGGAAAGAGACGGGCATTGATGACAAAGATGGCACAAAGGTGCTCCTAGAGCTACAGGGATGGCTAAGCTGGAACACATCCACAGGCTGTTTAGCCCCGGCTGTCACCTGAACGCCAGGGGCAAAATCCAGCTTCTTAATCTGTGCTGAGCAGAGACCTGGCCCCGGCATTCCCCTCCACACACCCCTCTCCAGCCCCTGGGGATCACACGGATTTTAAGATGCCAAGCCAACACACCGATGACCTTGTCTAATATCTTACAATGCCACTTACACTTCTGTTACTGCAAAGGCTGACAAAAGATCTGTCTCTCTCTCGATTTCCTGCATTCATTCAGGAGTTGCTTCTTCTCCCTTTAGTGCCTTCAGGAAAAGCTCACACAGACCAGCTGAACTACAAACTAAGGAGGAAACATCGCTTTTGTTTAGACTCTCTAAAAAGTAAAGCTTCTAAAGAACAAAAGAAATAGTCCTGTGAATTCAGACAGCAAAGATAAAAGAAGGGGCACACAGTCGAGGTTTGGGGAAGAGAAGGGGTTCACAACAAATGAACTTTCAGCAGCAAAAATCCAAACAAGTAGACTTCTAAATAAAGTATGGAATAGCCAGGATCCACCTCTAGAGACAATACAAGGTACCTAGAACTTCCCTTTATCTCCCTATCTTGCCACTGTGATAATACAAAATTACAAGTCAAGGCCAGAAAGGGTCACGAACAAAGGAGAAAAGGCTCAAGGTGTCCAACTGTACTCTTTAAGAGGCCTGTGCCTGCATTCTGCCTCTTGCTCTCCACCCTCCCAGACATTTAACACCACAGAAAAAAACCCTGACACCTGATGCTGAGCCCTGGGCAGCCCTCACTGGACTTGGCTGCTGCACCAGCTCCGTGCCTTGTGACCTCCA